GTGTCATGGGCAGGGCAGGAAGCCCTGGTGACCTCGGACGAAGGACTCGCTGCCCAAAGACACGTGGCTGCAAACAGGCCGCCTCAACTCCCTGGACTCACCCACGCGTCTTCACACAGGAGAGTCTTGATGGATTTGTACCTGGAACGCTCTCCCACACGAACGTTCTGCGATCCTAAGAATGCAGCCTCGGGGCTCCAGAAGACTGGGCATCCTTCGCCATACTCACGCTGACAAGGGTCATGACAGCGCATCTCCGCTTGGATAATTTTAGCCTCTAATAATTGCTGTCACTGTGAATATGAGCAGACCTAGCCTAAAAGTTCCCCATAAATAAGACAAACAACATCGCTGAGTAACTGTGATTAGAAAACGCAACAGCTGAGTCTAGAGGGTGACGAACGGGGGTCTCCTGGCTCTCAACTCAGACATTCCCCTCTCATCCCTGTGGAACAAGGGGCTCCGGGGGCCCCTCTTTGTCAGGACAGAGCGTGACGCCTTGGGGAGGGTGCTGGGGGCCCGGACCAGCTCCTAGGCAGGTGGGAGACTTCTCTACCTCAGAGGGAAAGACGCCACATTTGTCCCAGAGCAGATCCGGAGTATTTGACGAGGATGAAGGCAGAAGGATGTGAACTCAGGTCACTGTACCTGGGCTCAGGAAGGGGCTGCAGAGGTCACAGGCAAGGAGAGGGTCGTCACCGTCAGAGCAACCAGGCGGTCTCCGTCTGCCCGTGGCCCTGCCCAGCCCCCCAAATGGCCTCACCAGGGCGTCTGCTACCTTCCCACCTGCTCCAGTCCCCTCGTGCTCTGTAGAATCATGACCTCATGACTCCGGCGGCCTCCTGAGCATCAGTCCAGGATTCCCCTAATTTCCCAGCCTCCTCTTCCTGTCTGAAAGGGTGTAACTCGTTGGCCAGGACCCAGGACATGGCAGGTTGAGGAAGCTGACGATTCGTTTCTGTAATCAAAAAGAAACACCCATCTAATGCTGCAACAATGCACTTCATTACCTGAGACCCTTTGGGGGGCGCTCCCAGACCACATCTCCTATGACCTGGAAAAGTCTAGAGCAATTCCTGCTTTGAAGTAGTATCTCTCATTTCTCGTTCTTCTGGGTTCTTTTTTTTTTTTTTTTTTTACATCAGTTGTGTACTTGCTTGCCCATAGTTTATTTGAATGTCTGGAAACAACAATAGTAACACAATCAGGACTAGATCTTGAATTGGGTCTCAATCTAGATTGTGTCTCAATCGTATTTTTTAGCAACAACGCACTAAAAAAACAAATAGCACTTGTAATTATAAAGTTGTAATCCCCAGATTATAGTCATCAAATTCCCACATCAAATCCCACATCAAATTATAGTCATGAAGGTGGAAAAGAAATGCCCTATGGTTTTGTTTAAGAATCTGGGTGGGTTTTTTTGTTGTGTTTTCAAATTGTAACTATTGAGTATAAATTGTTTATAACAATCTGACTCAAAGGAGATAAAATTCACACCCACAACATTTCAGGACACTCACGTAGAAACCGAAAGGGCCCTTGGGCCCAGCCAGAGCGGCCTCTGCATTCTGGGCCCAGACTCCACCCTGGAAGCGGCTGGGCCGGGCCTCCCTCACCTACGCCCCAGTGTGACAAGTCCGACCCCACCCCAGGGGAGGACGCCAGCGCTGACACCCACCTGCTGTGGCTCCGACTCGTGTCCGTTACTTCACAGCTCTGCTGGGCCCACGATCACAGCAGAAAACCACAAAAAGGAAACTGAGGTCCTCGGGTCTCCTCCTGAAACCCCCATCTATATAGTTATGGTCTTTTACTTAGCATGTGAACCCATACTTTAATATGATTTTCAGGTAAAACCCTTTTCTTCAGCACACATTGTCCCTGTCTGACAGAACGTGGGTTGCGTGAAGAACTAGTCCAGCGGACTCCTGAAGTCCCTGCAATGGGACGTTCAGTGTGTGGACTGTTGGTGCCACGCGGTTAACCCCGGATCGGCACCGAAAACACTCGCCCTTTCTTCATACCTGCTTTCACCTGTGACCCATTTCATTATTCGCCTCAGCACAACGTAAGTAGAGCAAATTGCCTGAAAACACAAAACCAGAGATAGAATTCTGTAAATGACTTTGAATCCTGGAGGAGGCTGGTGCGTGGAGGATATTTAGAGCCTGCTTGTTGATGGGTGCACTGACTGTCCCCCTCCACTAGTCCACATAATGAAGAGCAGACTTTATTGCACATATGCTTCCAAATAGTTAAATGCCAGTAACTTGAGAAATTCCATTAACCTGCAAGGATCTGTGGCCACTGGCACCATTGCACCAGCCATCGCCACCTTTACTGATGGCGGTCACGCAATCTCAGACGACGCCGAGCACGGTGGCCCGGAGGAAGAGCTGCGCTCTGCCGTTGGCCGGGTAGCCAGGTGCTGACGCGGGTTCCCTTGCCTGTTTCCAGCCAAGCACCTGCCTGGGCTCCTTCCCCGGGTGGGGGCCAGAGGGGCAGCCGCAAGCTCAGAAATGCAGCGAAAACCATTTCCTTCTCGGGACAAATGAATTGAAGATAATCCTAAGATTTACAGTGTGCAGAATTAACTGAAGTTCCCTACAACTACGGCGTGATAGGAAGGTGCAGAGGTCATACCCATGGACCGCCGGCATGTTCTGGGCTGCCTCTCTCGTGGGTGCAGAAAGAGCCAGGCGGTGACAGGGGCGTTCTGTTTCCGTGGTTGCTCCCTCCATTGTTTCCTCCTCCCCAAGCTCTTGAGGGTGATGGGATGTGTTTCACAAGAAGTTCAGAGAAAATCACAAAAATTATAAGTCTCACCTGATGCGGTCTCTCCTCGGACTCAGCTTGGAAAATGCCCCAAGATGTTGCCTGTGCTTCCGTGTTTTCAAACGTACGTATAGATTCGTGTCACGGTCAGTCCCTCGCGGGCACAGCAGTGCTGGGCTCCAGGTGGCCAGTCACGGTGCCACGGAGACACAGCGGCCGCCTGGAGGCCTGCTCCTCCAATCACGGCCCGGGAACCTAACACGCAGTGTGTAAATTGAGAGGTGAATATAACTTTTATATTTACAAGAATTCTGTAGAACAGGGTCGCCTTCAACTCGTATCACCTTGAACCCTGGGCCAAGGGCACGGTGCGTGCTAGTCGAGTCCTTCCACAGTCTTCCCAACTGTACTCACTGGGTCAGGTTTCTGTCCTCTTGCCGCTCTTTGGGAATACATGTATCTCTGTACTAAAGAAAAGTATTGGGGCGCCTGGGTGGCGCAGTCGGTTAAGCGTCCGACTTCAGCCAGGTCACGATCTCGCGGTCCGTGAGTTCGAGCCCCGCGTCAGGCTCTGGGCTGATGGCTCGGAGCCTGGAGCCTGTTTCCGATTCTGTGTCTCCCTCTCTCTCTGCCCCTCCCCCGTTCATGCTCTGTCTCTCTCTCTCTCCCAAAAATAAATAAACGTTGAAAAAAAAAAAATTAAAAAAAAAAAAAAAAAGAAAAGTATTGGTAGGAACTATCCAGAAAAGAGACGATATTTGTTTTATACAATTAGTGACGCTCTATGACTAAGGTACGGCAAGTCTGACTTGCTGATGTTTAGAAAGATGTGTTAGATTTTTAAAAATGTGTTGATTTGCTATTGATATGTTGGTGCCCAGACCTCTTTTACCAACAAAAGTCTTTTCTGAGGGAACAGCATGAAATCCATAAAGGAGGCCCCCAGGGACACCCTGACTCAGCTGTTAGCGAACAGGTATTTTCTCCTAATCAATACACCTCATTTCCTCAGTGCATCGATACACTTGAACAATCCTTCTTTGTTTTTTTAATCAAAGAAACAAAAAGCAGGTGTGAAAGTGGCATGGAGGTAACAAAGTCCAGTCTGAGGGCTGGCGGGGAGGGGCTCTTTAGAATCCACACATACCGTTACCTGTATTCGCAATATACCTGGCAGCAATTACGCAGCCCGGTGGAGACAGGTGCGCGTCCCAAACATTCCTTGAGCGTTAAACAGGATACATTTCGGGTGAAACATAGGGCTTTTATGTAATTTTTAACATGGCCTTCTTTCAGCAGATTTTCCTAAATGCTTTTTTGCGATTGAACATAATGCTCATTCGGGTGTTATTTCTAGCAGCTCACCAAAATTCTCCTGAGGCTGGGAGGCAGGCCAACGCAGGGGTGCACTGGTCACATTAAATGACACATCGTACGGGCCACGGTGGCACCAACTGACCTCAGTCCTGCATTTCATGGGCGTTTGGTCACTGCACACTCCTCCCCCTCTCTCTCAATCCTGCTGAGACACGCATGCGGGAACCACAGCGAATTAGATTTAGCTTCTAAACTTCTACGTGCATTCCTGTTGCCTCGCTGCATATCATAATGAATTGTCTGTAAGGTAGAAAATTCCAAATAGCTTAATTCAGTCCAAACATGTGCTTCTGATGCTGAACGCCCAGCATAGGTGGCGTCGCTGCGTGAGCCCGAGGCCTTGCACTGTGCTGCCTGAGCGTCACTGCGAAAACAAACCATTTAAAAGCAATTGCTGCAAACATCTGTTTAAGGGTTGGTAACAAGCAAAGTTCATGAACTCTTAGAAAGTCTGGTAATATGATGAGTGTAATTATCATGCATCTGTTTGGGCTGTAAATAAATAAAGCGGATAAAAAATAAAAGTCACTCGTAAAATTTAGAATGAAAAATTAATATTTTAAAATTACATTTACCGCATATACTGGTTTATTTTCAGAAGAATTAAGGAAATTGATAGTTTCTAGCAAGTGCTTCCTGTGGCCTCCTGGTTTTAGAGCAGTCCGCTCGATTTGAGCCACACCGCCCGCCGAGCCGCACGCGGGACCTAAGTCTCCAGTGCGTGGTGAACAGGGTTTGACATGCCATTGACTTGCTTTCCATGCTGTTGCAACTAAACTTCAAGTTCTAGCCATTTTTTTCTTTTCTTTTCTTTTTTGTCCTTTTTTTTTTTATTTTCTTTGCAGAAGACCATCAAATGAACTGTCACAATACTCGAATAATGCAAGACGCAGAAAAGGATGATAACAATAATGATGAGTACGATAATTACGATGAGCTGGTGGCCAAGTCCTTGTTGAACCTCGGCAAGATTGCCGAGGATGCAGCCTACCGGGCCAGGACTGAGTCGGAGATGAACAGCAACACGTCCACCAGCCTGGACGACGGCAGCGACAGGAACGAGACGCTGGGCCGGAAGAGCGAGCTGAGCCTGGATCTGGACAGCGACGTGGTCAGAGAGACGGTGGACTCCCTGAAGCTGCTGGCGCAGGGACACGGTGTGGTGCTCGCAGACAACCTCGGCGACAGGGCGTATGCAGACTCTCTGTCGCAGCAGGACAGCAGGAACATGAACTACGTGATGTTGGGCAAGCCCATGAACAACGGGCTCGTGGACAAGATGGTGGAGGAGAGCGACGAGGAGGTGTGTCTGAGCAGCCTGGAGTGCCTGAGGAATCAGTGCTTCGATCTGGCCCGGAAACTGAGCGAGACGAACCCGCAGGACCGGAGCCAGCCCCCGAACATGAACATCCGCCAGCACGCCCGTCAGGAGGACGACTTCGCGGGGAGGACGCCGGACAGGAGCTACTCCGACATGATGAACCTCATGCGGCTCGAGGAGCAGCTGAGTCCCAGGTCTAGAACTTTCTCCAGCTGTGCAAAGGAGGACGGGTATCACGAACGAGATGACGACACCACCTCCGTGAACTCGGACAGGTCTGAGGAGGTGTTTGACATGACCAAGGGGAACCTGACCCTCCTGGAGAAAGCCATCGCTCTGGAGACAGAAAGGGCGAAGGCCATGAGGGAGAAGATGGCGATGGAGGCCGGAAGGCGGGACAATGCGCGGTCCTATGAAGAGCAGTCGCCAAGACAGCTTCCCGGGGAGGAGAGAAAGCCTAAGTCCAGTGACAGCCATGTCAAAAAGCCATACTATGGTAAAGGTAATATTTCTACCTAACGTAAGTTGCCTCACGCAAGCAGGAGCTAGGGTGAAAGATGCGAGGATAGTCCACAAGCGAAGTGCGCATCGCACTAAGTCATGTCACTAATGCAGATTTCTCAGAGTTGGTTACACGATTATGTTTTGTGACTATGTTGCTGGACAGCAAATAAAATATTTGTCTGGGAAATACACAAAGCAGCTCAATGCCCTATGATCAGAGCAGACGAGTAATATGATATTTCAGCGGGAGACGCCTGCCTCGGAAAGACAGGGCTAGCGCACACACGCATCGCGTGATAGAAACCACTAGCATGAGCCTGTGTTCTTACAAAGGAGCCACGATCTATGTGGAGTGGCAAGGGTTTACACAACAATTAGCCAATCAGGGAGGAAGCACGTTTTTTATATACTGGATTGGGTAGGTGGCATCATGATTTATAAAATTATCATCAAATGGCGGTTATTGATGAACCCCCCCCCATAAAAAACATCCCTGATAGAAATTGAACAGTAACAGAATGACCGATAACATAAGACAAGGGCAGTGACTGCACATTAATTATCCTCAGATAGTAAGTAATGGGAGCCATTTGCTACGCAAGGCATGGTGTATCCCAAGCTGAGATCAATAGTGATTTCTTTAGTATATTCATTCCCGCTCTCTGATTCCATCCCATGGTGGAAACAGTTATGGTGCTTACTTTATTATAAAACACTCAAAAAACCATCCAACATGATAGTTTTAACAGATTTTCACTTATAAAATACATTGACACATATCTGCATATATCTGTATGTTTAATCGTTCCCATGTGTAGCCACCATATCCACTAAGAGTATGAATACCCACTGAATGAATGACTGACTTCATGTTTGCAGTAACAACCGTGTCCACTTGTGATATGAGGTGGGTCATGATTTAACCTCGTGCAGAACCTTGACGCTGTGGCTATTTCGGTTACAAGATTCTCTGAGAACTAAATAAGAAGCAATTTCAAGAATGAAATTGGTAATTCCTTAAATCCTTCCATATCAGGACCAAAAACAGAACTTTTGTCTTGTATTCGATTGTATTCCTTATAAAGACTGAGTTTCCCCACCGTGGATCTGATGGTGAGGTTCAGGAATCTGGTTTGAAAACCAAACAATCAGAAAGCCTCTTTCTCCCGCTGTGACATAGGTGTGTATTCTCCTCTCAATGTGTGCACAGAACTCTGTGGCATCGCTGTAACCACAGCCCAACAGGGGACGAACCGTAGCCAGAGGCCCGTCGGGTTCTTGCTTTGGCGGGTGCTTGAGCGCTGACCGCCGTCTCGGGTGACGCAGGGAGAGCCTCCGGAGGGGCGGCATATGAGGAAAGGGCTGTTTCTTAAAGGCTCTAGCTCAGTGCAGCATCAGGCTTGCGTTGGTGCTGTGAAGACTGGGAAACAGCACATGCGTTCATAACCGTAGTGCGATCTATCAGGACCTTTTAGTTGGACATTTGAGAGGCGGAGAGGAGCTAAACGCTTTTAGGAAGGAAGAGTGTCCTTTCTCACAGGGCGGCTCGGTGGGGCGAATACACATCGGGCTTACGTTAGACGTCTGCAGACCGGGTTTCACGCGGAACGGGCAGCGAGGCACGCGGCAGAGCACTGTGGGAACACGTGGGCTCCCGGGGCAGCGCACGCAATGTGTGCCCCTGGCTCCTTTGGCTTCTGTGGTTCCCTTAAGCCCAGCAGCTTTTCTGTAGATTCTTACTCATTTTGCTTTGTTATTGCTATTTGGTCTTATTTTGATTCGGGCAAGAAATGGAATTCAAACCGCTGGCTTCCCTTCAACAAACGGGGCAGGGGTGGGAACAGTACAACCCGAGATGTGCTTTTCCCTGAAATGGGGGAAGGGTTGGGGTTGGGACCTTCCAAAAGAGTCAGAAATCGTTGATTCCTGACTGGACCAGTTTCTCTAGATTCTTCCTCCGAGCAAGGCTTGTCCACTTTCACGTGTGTCCTGCTTCATTCCCGGGTCCCTTCTCAAGATGTCTGTAGGCATGTTCAGGACCAAATCAGTAAAGCCAAGCAAGGACCCCCAGTGGGGCCGGGAGATTAATGCCCTCCTTATTAAAACGATTAATTATGTGACATTTTACCAACATAGCCAATGGACAATTCCTACAACCGTACAGCACGTCAACAATCTTCATTTCCAGCTTCTTTGTTATTTTATTGCATCAGTTCTCACTTAAACACGATCTTCTCAAAATGATTTGAATTATACATGAGTGACTCTTCCAAAATCTTGAGCTAAAACAAAAGACGTTCATCATGAAACTCCTCTACCTTTCTCCTCCTCAAGCATCCACTCGAAAGGGAGGAAGGGGAGCAAAGCTAAACCCAGCGTGCAATTTTTTTTTTTCCTAGACATCCTTGCCGGGTTTTCGGTTGAGTTACTGGCCTGTTTGCTTGCTTGGTTGTTTTGGGTTTGTCTGAATGTTTACCTTCAAGATGAATTGAGATTCCCGGAAATCAGCATGCACGGGGAGGCGATGGCGGAGGCGAGCGGCATCGAGAGGAGAGTATACCCTTGTGTCCTCCAAAACTGAAATTGTTTGAGCCACTTGTTTTTACACAGATCTGCACTTAACTTCAGAACACTTTGGAAATGTATGAAATGAGAGCACTTGTTAGGAAACTGCAAGTGTACTGATGAAAGCGTCACTTAATGATGAATAATAGTTAAAATTTAGGTTTTTACCTTTAAAATGCTATTTATATTCAGCTTATGATCTTAAATAATGAGTATTTTGCTCTGAAACTGTTACTGTGCACTTACTATTTTATATTTACATTAATTAAATGATGCTGATATTATTACAACACTACCCAAAAGGCAATAAAACGCCAGGCTTTTTGATTATATGTGTAAGGGAAGCTCCAGTAAGATACTGAGAAACTGAAGCTACAACATAATTTCAGGTGTTTCAGGAAACCGTGATCTTCGACACCTGTAGGAAGTAGCTGACAGTTGCATCCAGGATACAGGCCCGTCAACAGCAGCCCCAGTTTAGCGATCCAGGACCTGAAAGATGTATTACCTAGGTTAAAATGCTAGCTTAAAAAAGGAAGGGGGGGGAGGTGAGCTTTTTATACAAGCGTAAAAGCGTTTACATATTCCTGTGACTCCTGTGTCCGTTTCAAGTTCACATGAATGACTTAAGAAGAAAGTCCATCAGAATTCAAAAAACTTGAACCAAGCATGTATTTGCTAGCTGTCACGATTGGCCCGGTTAATCAGCCACGGATAGAAAAGTGTTACACCCCTAAAGAAATGTTAAGCACACACTCCCTGGGCCGAACCACCATAGTCACTCTCTGTTGATGATCTGTGCAACCGGTTTTCAAAAACTGACTCAAAAATAATTTTTTTGCACACTTATATTACTATTTGGTCTGAGCTTTATCTTAGAAATATTTCTGCACATTGATGAGCTGTGGTCAATTCTGGATAGAGAAATAGTTTTATTAACAATAGCATTGCATTTCTGGCATCTGGCGTTCAAGTTCTGACCAAAGGTCTGCTCTGCGCCTCCCTGCAGAGAGCCAACAGGGCTGTATAAAACCATTCCCTCTTAATTTTGTGTACGCATGCACAGCATCGTAAGATCCTTCCTCTGGTTCCAAGGACAGATGAAGAAGTCAAAAGAAATGGTTGCTCCAGCAGCTTCTGAAACATTTTTTATTGCCCATCACCCCCATCGGGTGGGATTTCCACCATTCTGGTCATTTGCTTACAGTGCCTTCTAAGAGTTCAGCTTCTTTTCAGAAAAGTCTCTGAATTGGTGTGCTATGGAACATCATTGCAAGATAAAAAAAATAAAGATAAAAAAATTCCACCACCAGTAAAATTTTGCACCTAGTAGTGTATCCGATTAGAGCACCAGAAGAGACAGACGCTGCACTGAGCAGTGTTTTAACGGCATTGTGCCCCCAGTTGGATTTCACAGAGCGATTGTTGAGGGTCGCTGGGCGGTTTTGCTCTCTGAGAAGGTCACTGTCTCATCAGTATTTACGTTGATTTCTTTGAGCAACACAGCTTATCATGTAACACACGGGAAAGCAATTAATCAGGAGCTACGGTAGGGCTAGTCTTTTTTTTATCTCATAGAAAGTAAATTATTTTATGATTCGTGATTGCAGTGTTTCAGGTCAAAAAAATCACCCAAAACCACAGAACTACCTACGCAAAAGTCTATGTCACAGCTTGTCCCCTGACACCTGCTTTTTTTCTTTATTTGTCAAGGTCTCTTCAGGTTGTTAATTTATCACATTTGTCTTCAATGGGTAAAGAAATTCATTCTCTTGACACCTGTTGTCGCTTTTAGATCCCTCGAGAGCAGAAAAGAAAGAGAGCAAGTGTCCCACCCCGGGGTGTGACGGAACTGGCCACGTAACCGGGCTTTACCCACATCACCGCAGTTTGTCTGGATGCCCGCACAAAGATAGGGTCCCTCCGGAAAGTAAGTCCGTGTTTCGCCAACACCCGTGGGAGCACAGCCCCGGGGATCTGTTTGTGTCACCCCACGTGCCTCTGTCATTTCCATCTCAGTGCAGCCCAACCTTGTCTCCCCGGCCCTTCCCTGTGTTGACGGGCCGCTCGGCCAGGACTGGCGGCCCCTTCGAGGCCCAGTCACTCCTGCTCCGTGGTGGCCCAGGACGGCAGCTCACCAGCCAGGACGCCACTCCGCTTCCATTTCTGACTCACTCGGGCCCTTGGGCAAGTGACTTGTCCCCTCATCTCTCAGAAATCATAGCAGTGGACTGAGATGGTCTCTAAGACCACCACCCCCTGCAGGGCTAACCTCCTATGAGTCCCTGAGAGAAAGGTCCCAGAGCCTCTTCTCGCCCAGTTATGTAGACTTCTGTATATACAAACCCATATTTGTTTTCGTATCTTACTGCATTTTGCTTGTCCAGAGTCTGTCTCGTGTCACAGCTACCCCAACTTTTCCACACAACAAAACCTTAACTACGGAGGCTAAAATCGGGTGGGTCTAGATCTTAAGCATTCCTTTTAATGAGTTAGGTTGTGAGAGTGTGCAATTTATCTACGAACACAACTAAATTTAATTCGGGACCGAAACGGTATACACCTTCTCTGTTTATCTTCCTCTCAGCACATAAAGTATGCCAGCTATTTAAATACAATTAGAATTGATTGCTCAGGGGAAAAGGCCCATTTTCAGAAATGACAACATGAGTTTAAGATCCCGATTTTGAGCCTAAGGTATGTGAAGGATTTTCCTCATTAGCTGAGACACAGTTTCTAGCAGGGAAAATGAAATCGCTTGGCCGACATTCGTCAGGATGACCAGGTGACGGTTCAGAGGAGTTTTTGAGGGTTGTCCCATTAAAATGGGTAACTTTGGAATTCTTGAGACACAAATCTGTCAGAACAAAGAGAAATTCAGGGTAGTCGCTGAGGCTTAGAAAACGGGTTTGGCTGAACATTTTCCGATGAAATCTTTTTAGAAACTACTGTGCCTCCAGGTTCTCAAACGGCTACTGAAAGTAAGCAGCCCGTGTTTCTTGTAACGGCCTTGTGAGCAAACCTAAAGGGTATGGAAAGAAACGAATTCGAGTGCATGGCCGTGCCCGTGTGTTACATGAGCAGGGAGACAGCATGGTCTGACCGCAGCGGCTTCCTGTCTGAGCACCGTCCGTGCCGGCCTCTCCGCGCACTCCAGCCTCCCTGCCTCCCTCGCTCCCTGGCGAGCCCCTGTTTCCCAGATGAGGAAAGTGGGGAGCCAATGCCGTCACCCTCTCTTCCTGGGGGATTAGCGCGGTGTCTGGCCGACCCCGATCTGCACAGGTACTAACCCGCCTGAGCAGGGAGCAGGGCTGAGTTGGAGACTCTACCTGTCGGAACCCCAAGCTTGTGTTTCTGCCGAGGCCTGGCTTTGCTGCTCCTGCCCCGGTCCCCACAAGCTGAGACACCGGGCCAGCCACGGGCCCTCCACGCCCCACTTTCCTTATCCCCAGCTTGGGGCACGAGGACATCACTGGTGTCTTAGGTACAGAGAGGCTCCTGACGCAACTTTTCCCGAAGGCACACGTTTTTGCCTCCGAAGTAGAAAATCAGTTCCCTTCCGTGGCTGAGAAATTCTCCACACTACTCATTTTCACAGGAAGAGCCTACATGTAGTAGAGACGGGGGCTGCGCCCCGACCGGCTGTGTGGTGTACGTGCTCCCACAGACCACGGGTCAGCCCGCACCTGGGCTCACCTCTGCCAGGAGGAGGCCGGAGGTCCGCTCGACACCCATCTCCCAAACGCCTTCCAGAGCGTCTGCAGGAAGCTCTTTCTAAATACTTGTGTATAGTTCTTTGTAGAATCATAAAGACTTTAAAAAAGAAAAACATGAGACTCCTCAAAGGGCATGTCTTATTTTTTAGTTTTTAGGTGTTTTCTCCGGTTTTTCCTTGGCTAGGCTCCCCTAATCACCCTTTCTGTCCAGCCGAAGGCATTAGAGTGTCGCACACCCCAGTTTGCAGCACACTGTGCTAGAAACACGAGGACATCCCACTTATGGGACACGGTTCTGGCCCTCCAAGAGCCCCAGCCCAGCCAAGGACAGCCGCGTGCTCAAGACAGTGGGTGACTCACACCTGAGACATCAGACTTCCCAAGGGCCCGCAGGCTTCACCGGGGTCGCACTTGAGCCAGTCCTGAGGGAGAGAGAAGGGGTCCACGGCTTGTCTGAAGGCTGTTGCAGTAGTCCACGCGGGAGACCAGGCGTGACGGAGGCAGTGGCCAGGGAGGGAGGATCTGGGACAAGTTCAAGACGCGTTCCGGACACAGGCTGGCGTGCAGGAGGGGAGAGGGAGGGGGTGGGGGTGACGCCGAGAACTTCCGCCTGGCACGTAAGAACGTGGACTCCAGGAGTAGATGTGATGGGGAAACAGGGCCCCGTGTAACAGAAGGAACAGAGGCTCGGATTTGCCATCTTCCCTGGAAGTGCTGGGTGGCAGTGCCACAGGCTGCCTGGAGGAGGGTCCAGGGTCAGGTACACAGGCAGCTCCCCAACCTCTTTTCCCAGCCATGCTGCTGGAAACCGGGAATGAAATTGCCTGGAGAGGAGACATAAAGCGGAAATGGACAGGAGCCAAAAACAGGAGTTTGGGACACGAGTGTGTAGAACGTGGGGCCGAGGAAGAGCGGATACAAGCAGCCAGGAGAGCATGGTTGTTCTGGAAAGATCCGCACGTGTCGGGGGGCCAGACCCCGGGGTCACCAGGCTTAAGCAAAACCTGTCGCTGACACTTAAGGGAGGGCAGAGGGCGGCGGGGAAGAGCGGGAACCAGCAACACAAGTCTGAGGAACATGGGGGGCACAGCGGGGGAGGGGCAGCAGGAGCACAGGAGGGGCTCAGGGTGGGGACAGGAGTGGGGACAGAGCAGGAGGGCAAAGTGGTTTCTTAAGTCACAGTAAGAGCCCACACACACCTTATAACAACCAGGCTCCTTTTTACAAATGAAGTGCGAGCGTACGAGGGATGATGGAAGGCATCTGACCTTCAGCCTCAGTCCTGGGGATACAGTAAGGGAGCGGTGGGTCCTGACGACCTGGAGGGCACTCGCCGTGACCAAAGGAGCACAGGAGTGAGGAAGGTGAGGGACAGGAAAGTGGGGATAGGACCAGGGGCAAGGGGGGTTGAGGGCAGCAGGAGCACAGGATCCTGGGACGGGAACAGGATTTGGGGGCAGAAGGGGAGAGGGCGCCGCCCCCTGACCGCTGGCTGGGGAGGGGTCCAGGCCAAGACGCAGCTGGCAAGACTGAAGGCAGACCGCACGAGGGGTCCGCTATCTGCCGTGAGGACCGAGCTGTGTGCAAGGCAGCAAACAGACAGGAAGAGGACGTTGGAAAGAGTGCACATGATGTTGTAACAGGAAGACAGGAGAACCCTACTGAATTAAGACTGATGTAGGTGAACCCAGGCCCTGGCGGGGAGTGGAGGCCTGGGGCCAGGGAGGAGCACAGAAGGAAGCCTTGGGTTGGGAGGGGGGCACCCAAGCTGGGAGACTGGACGGGGGGGGGGGCGAGTCCGACGGGGTGGGGATGCCCCAGCAAGTGGGGAAGGGGCAGGAGGAGCCTCCTTGTGCTCAGAGGACACGGTGGGGGGGTTATAGGTGGGGTGAGGTACAGGGGCACCCGGGGAGAAGGCCTCCTGACACCCCACTCTGGCCAGATCCCCAGCACACAAGGAGCCTAAGGCTGACTCACCCTTGTCAGGTCGGTGCTTACCGAGCGCTGAGCGGACGTCCAGATGACGCGGGAGCTGTGAAACCGTAAAGATGAAACCAAAATATACTCCCTTTTCAAGAAACTGGCCAGGAGTGAGGAGGCTCTCGTAGGCTCCAGTAGAACAGTGTCTTATGGGAATAGCATGCAAACGTCAGGGAAGAGAGAGATCGTTCTAGAGAAAGAGGAAAGTTGTAGAAAATAGAGAAGTAGTTCGGGCAGACTTTGCTTTCCATGGTTCGATCGCGGGGTGAACCTCGCTGGCCGGGAAAGCACCCCCGGTCTTGCTGCCTCGAAGCGGACGGTTGTGTGGGGGCAGGTGCTGTGGCTCAGTCCTCCTGGCTTCCCACCGGCACCTGTCACCCCCTCCCGCTTCCCCAGAGTAGCGGCCTCTCACGGAGGACCAGACAGAGGATGACATATGCAAACTGTCAGGGCCTGTTCCCGACACGTGTAAACGCAAACACTGTCTCCCAGCAACGGGCCGCTTGACTCCTGGTGCTGCCAAACCACATCCTGCCGTGTCTCCGTGCTGACTTCACTTACTATTCTAGCTCATTCCATTGGAAGAATAACAAAATACTTGATTCTCAGATGAAAAGTCATTATTTAATCCATTTTATTTAAAAATCAGGCTTGGGTTTCTCTATTCACCGGTGACCACCTTCTTAATAAATACCATGTGATTCCAGAGAGTATAGGCGTGTCTTACAACTCACCAGTGTATGTGCTGTTACATGGCCAACCGATGTTCAGGGCTGACGCGCAGGAGATGTAGGGAGGCCCCGCTTCCCTGCCCCATCTGGAACGTTCCCCACCCCCACGGCCCCTGCCCAGCGCTCCCTGCTCTGCATGCCCACTACACTAAGGTTGAGAGAACCTTCTTCTTTCCACATGTGTGTTCCCGACCATGCCCATCACAAGTGTGTGTAGGACTGTCCATTGTGAACCAACCCAGCCTTTGTTAAAATGATCGCGTACTCGTATCCGGACCATTTCTGTGTTTTAACGCTGGGCTGTCTTCTCTGCCTCTTCCTTGTCAAGTTCTTGCCATGCATGAGAATGTTCTCAAGTGTCCTACTCCGGGCTGCACAGGGCGAGGGCATGTAAATAGCAACAGAAACTCGCACAGAAGGTAAGCAAAGCGTCCTGCGCCCCACGCTGCAGGGAAGGCGGCTCCCCGACAGCCCCATCCCCGTCCCTCGGGAGGGAGTGCGCCCCTGCACCCCTCCCCCTCCTGGGTCGCTCTCTGGGAGCGGAGGGTACTGGTGCATGGTGCATGGGGAAGCAAATCCGGAGAACCGTTTTCGAAGCGTGGACTTTTTTACTTGTTCCGCTCATTCGTCCTGCGTCCTCTAGAAGGCGCCCTCCTTGGTGTGAGGAACGGATCCACAGCCCTCTGTGGGGAATGCTCAGCTACCCTCGCGGGTGGGGAGAAGCTCTCCTGTGCGCACCGTGCAGGGAAGGGTTCCAGCGCCCCAAGGCTGGGGGGTCTGTGACCCAACCGAGTTGCCTCTAAAACTCTGCCGAAACCCCAGTCATCAGTGTGGACGCGGTGTGGACACAAAACACTAGCAAGTGTCCAAAAGGGCTAGTTGGGGGGCATTTGGCATGACCGTGAGCCGGGTACGTAGGCGTACCCGGAATCACACTTTTGCTCTGACAAGTTCCAATTCTGTTTCCTCCCCTGTTCTGACTTTTACCAAGTTGCTCATGATATTCAGATCATATCAAATACTTCTTTATCAATAACGGAGTGATTCTGTTACGGTCCACCTCATGGTCTGTACTTTCAGTTTCAAAAGCACACGTAAAATTATGCCTAAGTGGAGGAAATGGTTATGAGTTTCATCTTAATCTCTGCTTGCCTGACTGGTGAATGTTGTTACTTGTGTGAAGTTTACCATGAAACAAATCACGACCCTGTGCCCCTCAGAGATCCTCCAGGACTCAGTCTGCCGAAGAAAGGGATGATCAGTAGGTCGGTTCAGTTCACGCCGAGCACTGTTCCATATGGTCTTTACAATATCAGCCCCCTCCTCAAACCTGGGCGGGGCCGTGTATTTTTGAGATGTGACGCACACGTGGGGTGAGCATCCGCACATGTGTGTAGATATATATACAGACACACAAAGAATAGACACCGTGAGTTCATGAGGAATAAGCCCAAACACAAGAGAGCCAACCTGCCATCTCTTCCATGAGCATTTAGTTCCAAAAACCACTTAACGGTGGTCCTAGAGACTATCCTGCTTCCTCCCCAGTGCCATTCGTCCCCCGGGGAGGGCGTGAACGAGCTGGTCAGTGACAAGCCAGAGCGCTGTGGTCGGTGGCGCTCACGGGGTCAGCCGAGAGCTCGCCTTCTGGTGCCGGTCAGAGACCTGCCGTTCTAGGGCTCATCCGGCCCAGATGGCTAGATCCTCGTCTCCAGAAACATCCCGGAATGGAATCTGTGTCTGAAATTTCAACTCGCTCCTGTACTCTTGAATGACACGGAACTTGGCTTGCCGTCACTGGAAAGGATTGCGTGCCCTTGGTGCACGGCCTGGCCCTCAGCACCGTCCACCGGAGACCCAGAGGAACCCGTGCAAGGTGCAGCCGCAGTTGTTGCTCTCTAACCCGTCCCATCAGGAAATCCCACGGCAGGTGTGGGAACCCGCGCTGGAGCCTTCTCGCGCCGACCAGGGGAGAGGGGGAGGTGGTCACGGGGTCAGTGTGCCGTGAAGCCGCTGGAGGAGACAGCTCAGCCCCCTCTCTGTCCTTGCAGCCTCTCTGGATGTCCTATTGCTGCCGCGGAGAAACTGGCAAAGGCCCAGGAGAAGCACCAGAGCTGCGATGTGTCCAAGTCCAACCAGGCCTCAGACCGCGTGCTAAGGTACCAGATGCCGAGCGCGTCGCCTCATGAGAGCCGCGCGTGCCCAGCATGCCAGGGCACGTGGGGGTCCGGACCGGGCGGGCGGGCTCACGCCACGGCAGGCGGGCACGCGGTCACCGGTGCGGGTAAAAGAGCCGAGCCCCCGGCCCACCTCTCGCCCGCAGGGCTGTGTGAGGGCAGGGGGTCGCTTCGGTGGTCGGGGCCTCCGTCCGCCTGCTGTCGGTGGACAGGGTTGGTTCTGGTTTTCTTTCTGGCCTTGAAAGTATTCGGTGATTCTCTGAATGTGGGGGGAGGGAGGGGAGCTCTACACGTGAATGAGACAGTCACCCGAAGTGGTTTTATCTTAATGCGGACGAGAGGGCGGGAGGCCAGCCCGCAGCCCGGCACCCCTCCCGGTGGGTGCGGAAGCCGTTCTCCGCACGGGAGCCCTCGGGGGGCCTTCTCCCCTCAGCCACCCGACTGAGAACCCGAAGCGGCCAAGCGACTCACGTGAACCCGCTCAGTCCCTGACGGTCCAAGCAGGAAGACCTCAGAGATCACCTGGTCCAGCCCACTGTTTTCTTTTGTGATTTTTTAATGTTTCTGTATTTTGAGAGAGAGAGAGAGAGAGAGCAGAAGCGGGGGAGGTGCAGAGAGAGGGGGAGAGAGAGAATCCTAAGCAGGCTCCATGCCGTCAGCACAGAGCCCGACGCAGGGCTCGAACTCACAGACCGTGAGACCATGACTGGAGCCAAAGTCTGACGTTCAACCGACTGAGCCCCGCCCCCAGGCGCCCCCACCCACTGTTTTCTTAAGTTTAGAAAAGAAGGATTCTCGGGAGGGGGTGGAGAGAGAAAACTTCATCCCAGACAGGACCCACCCACCAGCTCATTTCCACTTGCCCCCCGCACACCCCGGGCTGCGTGGCCATCGTCGGGGATTCCGACTCTTCATTGGACGTGGTAGTGGGAACACGCCCCGTGTCCTTACAAAGGCGGCCCTGGTGGCCGTGGTGGCTTCAGACCTTCTCCAGTGGGAGGTCACTGGCACAGAAAACAGGCGCTCCCTCGGAGGCATTTAGGTTGGTTCCAAGTCTTGCTGTTAAAAAGGAAGCAGTACGTTCGTGCGCATGTGTGCTCACGCACACACACACACACACACACACACACACACACACACACAGTTTTGATTACACACACACACACAGTTTTGATTCTGTTCAATTACCAATTCTTTCTTTGGGATAAATCACCTGGAAAAAAATCACTGTTCAAATGGCCTGAACACCTGCTTGGTTTTGTTGTGTATTATTTTGAAGCATTCTGAAGGGATTTTACCACAGTCGTTAAACACCCTTTTGTCCCTCAATAGAAAAGTTAAAGTCTTTATGGAAAATGAGAAATACTGAAATAGGCAAAAATAAGAAAAATAAAAATCATTTATAATCCCACTATTTAGAGACAAGCCCTCCATAAATGTTGGTGTGCATCCTTCTAGACCTCTCCGTGTGCCCTCTTCCCAGAAGGTAAAGCAGACAGGGGGCGAATGGCTGCCCCCTCGGGCCCCGTCCTCCTGAGGAGACGACTGTGGGCCACAAATGGTGCACCTGTAGGCTTTCTTTACATGCCCAGGCTGGGCCTGGCGAGGAGGGGCCACAGAGGGAAGGACCCTCAGCCACCATAGCGGGAGGCACCGGGGAGCCAGCCCGGGCCGTGGGGACTGGGGGCTCTCTCTGGAGGAGTTAACTCCAGGCTGGCGAATGGGCCAGGCCTCCGGGCTCCCCGTGCTCCCCAGCTCCCGACGGCTCACCGCAGGCACTGACGTCCCAGTTAGGAACATGATCTGGGGGACCTGGTCCCCGGGTGGGCCACCTTTGTGTTCCCCGTGGTGTCTCCATGCGGGGATGCTCACTCGGTGGGCGAGGGAAGAGACAGGAAGGGAGGAAAGAGATCGCTTAAACCTACACTTATGTAGCTAAGAGTTGAAAAGTCTTCATGCAGGGTGTCCAACAGGAAGGCTTAGTGTTTCCAGTTCTGTCCCAGTTTTCCACTCCCCGGCCGCGGAGGCCGGCCTCCGTCACAGCCTCTGTCCGTCACCAAGTGCCACCTTCTCTCCGATGCCTCTGCTCCAGGCGCCGCTGCTTCTGAGCTGGGCCTAGAGTTTTGAAGGTTTGGGGACCACGCTTCCCCGCCTTGCCCCCTAAGCAGAGCAGATTCCTCCTGGCCCCATGCTACCCACCTCCTGAGAGCCCCCAGTGATGCTGTCGCCGCACCTGCCTCTCCCCTCTCACCCCTGCACTTGTGCCCCTGGACCACTTACCTACCTGGACAGCTGACCTCACACCTCGATTCGTAAACTAATGTCACACTCTGCCTGCTCTTGGAAGACAAGGCCACGAGTTTTATTCACTTCCGCACCTCCACGTGTTACCTGGAAAAGGGCCTCCAATAACAGGCGTTCCACGAATCACCACATTATTTCGTTAATTTGACGAGAAGACGCTGAATTAATGAAACCAAAATAAATGTGTTGATGATCTGGTAAAATACTAGCATGATGGGGGGCTGAGTGAAGAATGCAAGGAGTCCTCTGCACAACTTGCCTGTAAATCTGAAGTGATTTCCCAAAACAGTTTAAAAATCCCACCCATGAGATCAGGAAATAGGTGAGCACACACACGCACGCACACGCACAGCACAAGGCAGAATAGTGATGAGCGTATGGAACTGAGTGCTTCTCCATTTAAATACTTCATTCGAGAGTCTGGAAAGCTGAACGACTACCCATAAAAGCACGGAGGCACAGGCTGGTGTTTGTCAAAACACATCACATGTTCTGTTTTAACATCCAGTTTTGCGTCAGCCCATGTCCCTAAGGGTATGTCTCTAATTTCCGCTTATTCTTTTTCTTAAATGTTTTTTTTTTTTGAAATTTTTTTAATGTTTATTTATTTTTGAGACAGAGCATGAACAGGGGAGGGTCAGAGAGAGAAGGAGGCACAGAATCTGAAACAGGCTCCGGGCTCTGAGCTGTCAGCACAGAGCCCGACACGGGGCTCAAACTCACGGACTGTGAGATCATGACCTGAGCCAAAGTCGGCTGCTTAACCGAGTGAGCCACCCAGGCACCCCTCTTTTTCTTAAATGTTTATTTATTTTTTGAGAGACAGAGACAGAGCATGAGCAGGGGAGGGGCAGAGAGCGAGGGAGACACAGGATCGGAAGCAGGCTCCAGGCTCCGAGCTGGCAGCACAGAGCCCGATGTGGGGCTCGAACTCATGCACCGCGAGATCACGACCTGAGCTGAAGTCGGACGCTTAACCGACTGAGCCCCCCAGGTGCCCCTGTGCCCAACATTTTAAAAGATAAAGATGAAGCTTATCAAAAAACTTGTAATAGCTTAGTCTTTGAGCAAATACTACCCTTTCACCTCATATTTCCCTGATTTCTTCTTTTTTAAAAATGCTTGTTTTTATTTTTGAGAGAC